GACTCTGGTACTTCCAAAGAAAAAAGAAACAGTATATTCTCACCGAAACAAAGTGCAGTTGTTTAAACAAATTACGAATATAGAGGGAGTCTGTCGACACACTGCTGTGTGGTAACTTACATATACTCTTACAGTACGAGATAGGGTTAAGCTTCTTGAATACAATATCGGAGCTGAAGTTTCTCAAGTAAATTACTGAACAGACAAGAATCTTTAAAGGAGTTACACCGCCAGACAAGAATGCCCAGTGAAGGCAGGTGTTAAGGTAGTCTATCGTAGTTCAATGGGTTACACGAGTTTGGTGATCACGCCACACAATAGTATCTTCCTATAATGAATGACATGTCCCTCCTATGATAGCGCTGCTGACTGGAATCACGAGATTGTGGGAAAAACTCATTTTCGTTTCTTTTCTTTCTTCTTTCTCTCTCACTCTTCTTATTTTCTTTTTGTTATATTATATTTTTTTGAGACACGAAGTATTAACAACTCTCACCACGCACAGCGGTGGTGAGAGCGAGCTGAGGTTGGAGTCGCGAGCGTCCGCTGCTTCCTCGACACCACTCGGCGGCTCAAGTCGACCCTCACCCATTACCTTCAGCCCCCGGACCCCTGAGTAGCCGGACGGCAAGCGGCACCAGGCGACACGACCCAAAGATTGTCGGGGCTAGATTTTTGGAAAGAGCGGCTTGGGTGGGTTTTGCATGTTGGCACGCAGGGCCCGGTCTACAAAACTCCTGGGGCTTTCTAAGCAACCCCACCACCACCTGTGGCCTCACACCCCACGTGCTGGGATTCAACGAAGCATTGAGGAAGCGCACTCGCTGCACCTGCTTGTCTTCTATTTCTCCTTCTCTAGTCTCTCCTTTTTTTTTGGTGTTTCTTAGAACAAAAGCGCAGGTATTACCTTCCGCTTATCTTCTCCTTGAGGACTCAGATTGTATATCAACTATGTCAAATAATATAAATATAGTAAAGTACGATTGGAACCATCCATTGGAAGGTTGTTCTTTCTACTATATTGTAGAAGGTAAAACAAAGTGGAAAGTGCAATTGATGTGCATGCTTCTGCACTTTAGAACTGTTAGTTGACTGGTACACATTACTGAACCTTAAATTGGCCTTTTTAGGAGCCCAGTCACTGTGAACTCTTGAGTAAATGTGTCCTTTTTCCCTGCAAGGACTTATTGAAAAGAGACTCAGGAAGGGCACAACTGCTTGAAGTGGGAAGTAGTGAAGGAATGAGTACACAGATAAAATCCATTTATGAAGAACCTTTCAGGAGTTAGCCTTCAAAATATTTTCTAATTTCTTCATGTATAATGCAAAGGGGCCGGGTGCAGTGATCATGCCTATAATCCCAGCACTTTGGGAGGCCAAGGCAGGTGGATCATTTTGAGGTCAGGAGTTCAAGACCAGCCTGCCAACATGCTGAAAACTATCTCTACTAAAAATAAAAAAAAAAAAAAGGCCGGGTGTGGTGGCAAGGCTGTAATCTTCAGCTACTCGGGAAGCTGAGGCAGGAGAATAGCTCGAACCCAGGAGATGGAAGGTTGCAGTAAGTGAGCCGAGATTGTGCCATTGCACTCTAGTCTGGGTGACAAGAGTGAGACTCCATCTCAAAAAAAAAAAAAAAAGCAAAGGCACAGATGGAAGGAATAAGGAATTCTGTGGGAAAGCATCTTATGGCATCTTACCACTAAAGTGAATTAGCTCTCTCCTAATCCTGTCCTGCACTTAGATGTGATAACTACTGAATGACAGTGGTAAGATTTCATACAATTTGGTCATATGTAACAAAATTCAGCTTTTCTCTAAAACTTCACTATGTATGTGTTTAAGGAGTGAAACCTACATAGATAAGGTGTGGAGCTGGCGTCCTTGAATGCTGTCATGTTTGATATGTAGCCCATAATTTCATTTACTTGTTAAGAATCTACCTTGAGAGTGGTAGGGGGATCTTACTTAATTTTTAATGCAACCATGTCCCTCTATTCTAATATGAGTAAACTTTACAACATCTACATATCTTTTAAATCCATAACTGAGTGACATTTTAAAGTTTAAGGAAACCGTAGAGAAAAGTGAAATTTTAAATACCACTGTTTTCAGGATGACTATATGAGATCTTCTTGATCTATTAGGTAAGCTCTTGTCAACTTCTTGTGGTAGCTTTTCCTTAAACTTTCCTAGTATTCCTACTGCATGAGAAGGTGTCCATCCTAAAGCTAATGTTAACAAAAGCCTGATTTGTAGCAAATAAACATGCATGTCCTGGCTTTCTTTTCTAACAGCAATCAGAAACGGAGACTGTTCATCTCTTTATCCCGGCTCTATCAGTCGGTGCCATCATTGGCAAGCAGGGCCAGCACATCAAGCAGCTTTCTCGCTTTGCTGGAGCTTCAATTAAGGTACTCTTCTACCAGCTGTGGCTCTCTGGTTCTTTAAGTAAGTTACAGAAATATGAATCTTCTTGCCACTTTATAATTTGAATCGAATGTAGAAGACCCTATTAGGGTTACATAAGGATATGAAGAAAACCCCAAACAACAGTGGCTCACACCAAGGAGGCTAACTTCTGTGTGCAGAAAACACAGTCTGGAGGTGAGCATCAGGGCTGGGTGCTGACTCTGCCCCTCCAAGTCCTTGGACCTAAGTTCCTTCCAAGTCACCTTCCCCAGGTATGGCCTCAGTCCCTCATGGTTCCAGATGACACCATTCAGTGCTCCAAGAATCAGGTCTGTTGTCCAGACAGTAGGAGAGGAGAACACCATAAAGAGCTTTTCTCCTACGGAAGTTTCTTGTTAGCTGCTATGGGATAGTTCTGCCTATATTCCATTGCCCAGAACTTGGCCAGATGAAGTTGAAGGGGCAAAATACAGGCTATGCACAGTCAGCTAAACATTTTGCAACTACAGCAGGTAACATATCAGAGGACAACTAATGGTGTCTGCCATAATAGATAACTGTGTGTTCTGAAGGTTCTGTATTTTGATGCCTTATTTAAGGAAAATAAAGGTTGGCCAGGTGTGGTGGCACACACCTGTAATCCCAGCACTTTGGGAGGCCAAAGCAGGCAAATTGACCCCAGAAGTTGAAGACCAGACTGTGCAACATGGTGAGATCCCATCTCTACAAAAAAAAATTTTTTTTTTTTAATTAGCCAGGCATGGTGGCACTCACCTGTAGTCCCAGCTACTTGGGAGGCTGAAGTGGGAGGAACACTTGAGCTTGGGTGGTTGAAGCTGCAGTGAGCTATGATCACACCACTGCACGCCAGCCTGGGCCACAGAGTAAGACCCTGCCTCAGACAAACAAAGGCATGTGGTGTGCAGTATCCTTGAAACTTAGGGTACAGAGACTCCTAGAGTATGTTGCATACACAGGAAGCCCAAGGAGCTCTGATGGAAGTGGGCCAAGGACCACACTTTGAGCACCACTGGTGCAGTGAACATGGACAATGGAGACAGACCCAGCTCTCCCTCTAGCAGCTGTTAGCTGTATGATCTCCCTCTGTTAGCTGTATGATCATCGTCCAGGTAACTCAACTTCTCCAGCCTTCCATCTCCGCATTTGTGAAGTGGAGGTAATACTTCATCAGGATGTGGTGAGGATTAGCTGAGAGACTACATGTGGAGGTCTCCATTAGGGCCAGGCACAGAGTAAGTATATAGTATACAGCAGGAGGGCGGCCTAAATGGTGAACCCACAGGAATTGCTGCCTCTCCCTAATTTCCTTCACGAAGGCTTTAATTCTGCATTTCAGCCAATCACGTGAAAATGTTAGGCTGGTTGGCCTAAGATGCTATCAGTGATACCTCAAAGTATCATAACTTGTTGGGTCTGTTACAGATTGCTCCAGCAGAAGCACCAGATGCTAAAGTGAGGATGGTGATTATCACTGGACCACCAGAGGCTCAGTTCAAGGTATGTGCTATGCCCACAGGTAACAAATGCACAAGTACTCCATAACCTGGCGTCTCCCTTAAATATGTCTGAATCTCAGAAGAGTCAATGGAAATTCTTATCTAAGAGCAGAGTAGAATCATACTCAAAATTATATTTCAAAATTAACCGAAAGTCTTTAATTTTGAGAGTTCTGTACCGGTTGCTGGGTTTACCTGTCTCTCAAAGGTGAATTTTGCTCAATGGCTTGTAATCCTATGCTAAGGTGAGACCTTAAAATTTACAAACCTGCCGGGGTAATATGCCTTGGAAACTTGTTTTCAGATGTTTTCCCTCCTGTCCCTGAGATTCCCTAACCTTGAATTAAAATGCCCCCTTTTTCCTCTTACCCTTGGATTATCTCTGTTAGACCCTGCCCATAGACTCTCTACAAATCTCTGTAATCCTTGGGATCTTAGAGGTAGGAATGGCAGGAGCTCTTGTAGCATTTGTCCTGGTATGAACCATTGCACGTTTATTGGAATTTGAGGTCTTCTCTGTTTCTACGTACCTCACCTTTACAAATGCGCCCTGTAGGCGGCTTGGGATCTAGAGGTAGGAATTGCGCAGAGCTCTATTTGTAGTCATTGTCTGATAGGAACCATTTTTCCTACGTTGCGATCGGTTTATTGGAATTTGAGGTCTTCGCGGGGCGCCGCCTGCAGTGTGCCTTTCAATGTCTATCTGGAGAGGTGGTAGAGCAGGGACTTGGCAGCCAGGCCCATGCTAGTTCAAATCACAACACATATTGCCTCTGGTTATGTGCACATTGGCACCGCCCCGTGTACCTATAACTTTCTGCGCGCTTAAAGACAGGGAACTTCACAGAGCCCGTCACATCCTAACCTGTCAAGCCCTGTTATCACATATATGGGGCATGTTTCAGAAAAGTGCCTAACCACGGGCACACAAAAGCTAGCATGCGGGAAAGTATTCAGCAGACATGGATGAATCAGATAAGACCAATGCCAAATTCATCTGCCCCTCATTCCTTTCTAGTGTATGATCTTTCCCATCATATATATGTATATGGGTTGTCTTGTCTAGAAACCATTTAGCTCTGTGGACCAAGAACAGCACACTATTGAACCTTAACCATAAGTTATTTTTTGTTTTGTTGTTTTCATTTTGACACAGCAGTCTCACTCTGTTGCCCAGACTGGAACTGCCAGTGCATGATCGCGCTCACTGCAAATCCGCCCATACACAGGTCTTCACTAGCACACACACCTCAAAAGCCTAGCGAGCGCAGCGATCAAAGAGACGACCCATTATAAGGCATATGAGAAATAACGGACTCTCAGATTGTCTCTCCGTCCATGAAACCCCTGAATGTGCCAATTTATTCTTACACAGAGATGTGTGCTCATCCACCTGTCGACCCCACTTACAGGTCACACCCAAATCTCGAATATTCATTGTCCAGTATCACCCCTTAACCGTGACTGCCCCTCATATTAGCAGAAATGTCAAAACCCCAAAAACAACCCTTTTATTCTGGAGCCATCTTCAAACAGTATGCTGTGGATTATAATCAGGAGTGAGCACTGTGCTCCTGCCAAGCCTTAAGTGTTTCTTAGGCTCCAAGTGCGTTGAAACAGTAACTAGTAACAGCTGCATATAGTTCTCTCCATCCCACCCTTCTACCTTAAAAACAAACAAAAAAATCACTATCTTTGACTTTATCATGTTTCTCTGGGCCATTTTTTCACTAAAAAATCGAAGCTGCGGCTGGGCGCCGGTGGCTCAAGCCTGTAACCCGCACTTTGGGAGGGCCGACTGACGGGAGCCGGATCACGAGGTCAGGAGATTGACTACCTGATCCTGTGCTAACATGGTGAAGGAACATCGTCTCTCTATTAATAATACAACAAAAACGTACCGGGCCGAGGTGGCGGCGCGCTGTAGTTAGCTACATGCGGAGTGGAGGCAGGAGAATGGCGTAAACCCAGGAGCGGAGCTTGCAGTGTAGCTGAGATCCGGCCATGGGGCACTCCAGCCATGCGGGCGACAGAGCGAGACTCGTCCTCAAAAAAACAAAACTAAAACAACAACAACAACAACA